TGGATTTATCTCTGGGCTTTCTATTCTGTTCCATTGATCTATACTTCTGTCTTTGTGCCAGTACCATACTGTCTTGATGACTGTGGCTTTGTAATAGAGCCTGAAGTTAGGCAGGTTGATTCCTCCAGTTCCATTCTTCTTTCTCAAGATTACTTTGGCTATTCGAGGTTTTTTGTATTTCCATACAAATTGTGAAATTATTTGTTCTAGTTCTGTGAAAAATACCATTGGTAGTTTGATAGGGATTGCATTGAATCTATAGATTGCTTTGGGTAGTATAGCCATTTTGACAATATTGTCAATCCTATTTTTATGGCATCTTTCTGAACTAACATTTCATGCCACTTCCCTGCCACACCTTCTTCACTAGATCTTCTGTAGTCCCAACTTCTACCCTAGATTGTGAGTTACTCTGTTAATATCTTTCAGTGACTAAACTAGTATATTAATTGATGCCTCCTCCCCCCTTGTTCCTGTGTGACTGTTCTTTATTCTTGACATGCCCTTCTCTGACACGGAGTTTCCTTTCCCTTGTGCTCACTCAGTCGTGTCCAACTCTTTATGACCCCATGAACCGTAGCCCACCAAGCTTCTCTTTCTGTGAGATTTTCCAGGCAGGATTACTGGAATGGGTTGCCATTTCCTTTCCCATTCCTTTCCCTTATTTTCTACCTAGTCGTAGCTTTCAAGATCCCTACTTAAGTCCCACCCTCTCTAGGAAGCTCTCCTACTCTGCATGAATGATTTTTGAATGATGATTTTTACCTCCCTCTTACTCCTAGAATTTAAGTTTGGTGCACCAGTTATTTACTGAATAATTTGAGCACTTTGCTAGTTTTCTGAACTCAAGGACTTCATAGACTGGTGGGGAGGCCAGAAATGTAAACAACATATTATGGGCTATAGATATATAGCTATATATCTATATATAGATAGATATGTGTATATATATAGTGCAGAAGAAGAAGAGAACATTTTAACATTTATATGCAGGATAATATCTTATTTAGCCCATATTACTGCAAAAGCAGTGTCCTGCTTAAGCAGATTTCCCAATTATTGAAATGTAACTCTTTAGTCTCTGTTAATATGTCTGTACTGTGGATAAATGCATATGTTCATGTTGATCTTCGTCTTGGGAAAATTCCATTTCACAGGCAGTAAAACTGGGGTTGAGATTACTCTAGTCGCTTTACAAATACTATATTATATCTCAAAATCTTTGTTCTTGGCTTTTAGCCCTTGAGTATATTTCTTCCAGATTAGGTTCATCTAGGCTATTTTTCTTTCTACTCACCTCACTACTAACACAACTACCTGCTTTTATGAGCCAGTTTTCTCCCATATATACAGATGCCTGAATTGGGCCTTCAAAGAGAAAAATGTTTAATTCTTCTTATTTTTTGAAACATGCATCTTTGTCTATATAGGGAAATCAACTTTGTATGGCAGCCTAACTTGTCAAGGAATTGGCCTTGATGGCATCCCAGAGGTTACAGCTTCTGAAGGATTTATTGTGAATGAAATAAACAAGGTATGTTTTTATGTCTTCTAGCTGGCGTCATATCCAAAACTATGGTAGTAGCTTGTATATCTACTTTAAATATTTATACTCATTTGTGTATCACTGTCATCTCCATTTCATTCATATGATAATCATAATTTTTACTGCCTTTGAATGTCAAGAGTTTTTTTTTTAATACTTAGACATGGTTTTAAATGCAAACTTTCTCTTACTTCCCTTATACTAGTGCTGTTCGCTAGAGAGCCACATGTGTAATTTTTTTTATTGAAGCCTAGTTGATTTACAGTGTTTTAGGTGTATAGCAGAGTGATTCAGTTATGTATATATGTATATGCATATTATATATGTATTCTTTTTCAGATTCTTTTCCATTATAGGTTGTTACAAGATATTGAGTATAGTTCCCTGTATTATACAATAGGTCCTTTTGTTTATATATATAGCAGTATGTATCCACATGTGTAATTTTAAATTTTCTAGTAGCCACATATAAAAAGTAAAAAAAAAAATAGGTGAAATTAGTTTTAATAATATATTTCATTTAACCAAATATATCTAAAATATTATTTCTACCTGTAATTAATATAAAAAATTATTAAAAATAGTTTACACTTCTTTCTTCTTACTCTTTTTTTTTTTCTTATTAAGTCTTTGCACTCCTTTGTATTTTTAACTTAGAGAACATCTCAATTCAAACTCTAATTTTTTAATTGGAAATACTTGATATGTATTTAGGTTTAAAAAAATTTACAGTTGAAAACAGATGGTTCATGTACCTAAGTAGTTCCAAACATACTTAAAGTTTTCCAATAATTAGATCAAGTATCAGTTTTTAAATTAAACTTTAAATAAGATTAAAAATTCAGTCACTCATTTGTATTAGCAACATTTCAAGTGCTCAGTAGCTTTATGTAGCTAGTACCCCATATTGTACAATATATTATTATGTGTTTGGCCACACCTTGGTGAAGGCCTGTACTTAATATATTGCTTTTCTCATCAGCCATTGAGGTGAGTAGATGGCCATCTAAGTGTTGCAGAACTCAAGATCTGACTTTCCTTCCTCATTCTGATGGCTGCAGTCAGTGTGCTCTGGTGGATGATTCCCAAAGGGTGAAACAGCCCTTTTTTTTTTTTTTTTTTCTTTTTTTGGTGTAATTAAGCTTTCTTAGTTATAAGATGTTTCGGGTGTACTGACAAGAATAGGGAATACTTTGTTTTTTACATAAGATTTTTAGCAAATGTTCATTTACTACCCTCTGTGCCAAATAAGCTATATGTTTTTATATATTTTTAGATTTGTTTTTCATAAACAGTATTGTAGAAAGTGCCAGAAGATCTGAGTCCAAGTCTTAGTTACTGTGACATTTACTAGCTATATAATTTTAGACAAATAACTTGGTTACCTGAGCCTCAGTTTCCTCATCTATAAAACAGAGACTGTATTATACTTCATAGGCTGATTAGTGGGGATTGAGAATGCATATAAAAGAAACTAAGGTATTTCAAAAGTGAGTTATTGTTTATCATAACAATCCTGTGGAATTAGCATTTTAAATTTCCATTTTGCAGATAAGCAAACAGACTCAGATAGGTTAATTAATCCTTAATAATCAAAGCTGGCTGGACTGTGTCAGAATTGAAACCCATTTCTATTAACTTCAAGTATAACACCACCTTGCAAGCCTACATTTTCCCCAGGTGGTTTGCCAGTATCCATTCACAGCCTGGGTGCTGACTTCCTTTCTTCCCTTTGTACTCAGGCCCTTCCAACATCATTGCTAATTATTGCTGAATACCTGCTAGGTCAGACAGTAAGTGCTTATGGTTAAACATTCATGTTTCCTAACTACCATGAGTCACTTTGCTATTTGATGTTGCTGCATTGTCCTATTAAAACAGATCTGTCATTATGCTTAAAAACCTAACCCCTCGAAAAATAAAAGTTTTGACTTTTAATTTTATCTTAGTGTGGAGTATTCACTCTTCCCCTTCACACTGAATTTTGTCTGGTTTTATACCTCCCGCAGCTTTTCTTTTAAATCTTCTCATTAACAGCGTGAACATGTTCTACTGCTGGAAGAAAATTCAACATTTATCTTCCTTCATAGTCTGTTTATGGATTAAAGTGTGATTTGTAGGATTGATGAGCAGGAGAAATCCACTCATTTCTTGAAATCTTTTATATAATTAACTCCAAAGAAATAAAGTCTTCTGAGAGAAAACCCAGGTCTTACAGAGGCCTGAACACTAAGCTTTTAGAGCTCCTCATGTATTTCCTTGGTATAAATATTTAGCCAGGAAAGTTTAGCTGACACTTTAGTTTCCAAATCCAGGTCAGCTGTGTTGCAGCTGTATGAGCTTTGTCATGCGGTTAGAAGTAAAAACTCATTTAATGAAAGGCCTGCAGGCAGCCAGGCATAGATATGCTGGCTAAGAAAGAACGGTCTGTATAGATAACCTAATTGTCTTTTTAAAGGAATAGAAGATCTGTAATAAGAGAATATTGATTTTCAGTGATGAGAATACTATAACTTTGAAACTGTTCTTTCTCATGAACTGTGAAAACGGTGCTTGTTGTACATAAAGAGGTTTAGAAAGTCTTGATTATTGAAGACATTTTCATTGTCCAGAAGAATTTTCAGAAACTTTTAAGTACTATTGCATAAGGGATAACAGATTAGGGTCCATTTGGTGAGAGCAGCTCCTCAGCTCTGTGTAGGAGATACACACTTAGGGGACAGTGTTAATGTTCTGATTAGAGTATGGGATTGTTGTATTGCAAGAATCCTTGAGGAGGTGTTTACCAAGCCTTTTATATCTTGGCCTTGAAACACCAACATACTTAAATGGTTACCATCTGCCTTTAGCAAGTCATGTCACTTGAATCTAATGTCTGGTGCTAGGTATAATTTAATACTATGTCACTAGTGGTTTCTTGCTACAGTAGCTGAAATATATGTGGTAATGATTAGACAGAACACATGGGACACCATAAGACAGCTATTTGGTAATGACCAGTCTATGAACATATATAGTCAGTTTAAGCCTGGGTGGGATTGGGCACCACAAGCCTGAACAGGGCCTACACATTGTATGAGCATACCATAATTTACCTCCTTTCTTACTCTGGTAACTATACATGTCAGTAGTCTAACATTCTTTCTGAAAATTCTTGTAGGCAGCAAGTTTACTTTTAGATAAGTCTTTTGGGCCTTAGGCCTGGGGGCTGATGCTGTTGGTCCTGTTTCTTGCCACACTGCTGATTGAGAGTAGTGGTATTGGATTTTCTTAATGAAAATTAACATTCTCATGTTTGTCATTTGTATCTTATTGTTGGTTTATCTTCAGTTGAAACTTCAACATGAACCCACCCCTCTGCAGTAAAAGGACTGATTATCTATAGGGGAATGATAGTTTTATGGGTTGGGGAAAGAGGATTAGAGAGGGAGGGTACACTTAAAAGGTAAGAGTTTCTTTCATCCTAATGTTTTCTTAAGAAGCTTTATTTAGTTCCATTGGTGTAGCTTTACTGATGGATTTCGTTTTTCCTTCTCTGTTTAGAAAAGCATTCATGTTTCATGTCCAAAGGAAAATGTATCTTCAAAATTTTTGGCACCATATACTACTTTTTCCAGAATTCATACGAAGAGTGTAAGTATTTTGATAAAATGAGAAAACATAACAACATGTTAGTTTTTCATTTTATCTGCTTGTCTAGTGCTATAAACATTTTAATAATTAATGTGGTTTTCATTTACTTTGTGTTATAACACAGCTGATAAAATGTGACATGTTTGGCAAAACTGGTACTTGGGTCCTTAAAATAAATGTACAAATCCACTCCCTGATAATTTTTTTATTATTATTATATTAAAGGGAATCCTCCTACACTGTTGTTGGAAATGTAAGTTAGTATAGCCACTATGGAGAACAGTGTGGAGGTTCCTTAGAAAATTAAATATAGAATTACCATGTAATCCACCAGTCCCACTCCTGGGCGTATACCCAGACAAAACTAAAATTCAAAGCAATACATGCAATTACTGGTCATCTTGAAGAGAGGAATTGTGGGAAATTTTCTTTTTGAAATTTTCTTACATATGCTTTACTCACTATAGTGCTACTTACCAACTTTTGGATAATGATGATAGTACTTGATGTTTGAGTAATTTGCTACTGCTCATATTTCTCTCCCTTTGCCTATAGAAAGAGGCATTTTCTCAAAATTCCAAGAATAGCATACTGAGGGATACTTTTCAGAGATCTTTGTGATAAAGCCCTTTCTAGTACCATAGGCTTTTTTGGAAGCAGAAATGATGGATTATATTAAAGCCTACTGCTTCTTATTGTGTGATACATTTTCAAAAATAGCTGTTTTTGGAAGAATTGATGGCTTTTGAACTGTGGTGTTGGAGAATACTCTTGAGAGTCCCTTGGACTGCAAGGAGATCCAACCAGTCCATCCTAAAGGAGATCATTCTTGGGTGTTCATTGGAAGGACTGATGCTGAAGCTGAAACTCCAGTACTTTGGCCACCTCATGCAAAGAGTTGACTCATTGGAAAAGACCCTGATGCTGGGAGGGATTGGGGGTAGGAGGAGAACGGGACGACAGAGGATGAGATGGCTGGATGGCATCACCGACTCCATGGACATGAGTTTGAGTAAACTCCAGGAGTTGGTGATGGACAGGGAGGTCTGGTGTGCTGCGATTCATGGGGTCGGGAAGAGTCGGCCACGACTGAGCGACTGAACTGAACTGAACTGAGCCCTATTGTGAAACACATATATTTAGTGATCAAAATTTAGGAAATACAAAATAAAGTGAAAATCATTCATTTCTATAATATAAAGATAATATGAGCTTTTGTTATATGGCACTTACTGCTAATAATCAGTGATTTTGCCACTTGCAACAATGTGGATGGACTTGGAGGGTATGCTAAGTGAAATATGTTAAACAGAAAAAGACGAATATTGTATGATGTAGAATCTGAAAAATAAAACAAACTAGTGAATGTAACAAAAAGGAAACAAACTCACAGATTTAGAAACTAATGGATATAAATAGGGGGAGGGAAGTGAGGAGGGCCGAGATAGGGGTAGGGGATTAAGAGGTTCAAACCATTATGTATAAAATAAATAAGCTACACTAATATATTGTACAACTCAGGGACTATAGTCACTATTTTATAATTATAAATGGAATATAACCTTTAAAATATTGTGAATCACTATGTTGTATACCTGTAACTTTCTAATATTGACTATTAACTATATCTCAATTTTAAAAAGTAAAATTAATAATAATCATATTAGTAATAGCTAACATATATTGATTGCCTGATATGTGCCAGCACCATACTTTCCGTATCATTATTTTACTTGATCCAGTCTTTTTTCTTTAAATATTTTACCATAATAGGTTTTTGCAGTACATGCTGTTTTTTAGGTTACTTTTCATTTCTTAATATGTCCAACATTCTGTGTTTACTTTATGTGTATTATTTTAAGAGTCACATCGTTTTCCACTGTATGACTTTACTATAATTTATTTTTCTCATCTTACATTACTGGGCATTCATTTATTTCTAATTTTGTGACTTCATAGTTTTGATGATATACATATAGCTAACCCTTTACTCACAAAGGTAAGGAAAAATTTTTTTAAAAAAAAGGAAAAATTAGAGTACATTTATAAAAGTAGAGTTGTTGAGTCACAGGGAATGTACATTATAAGGCTTTTGGTATGTTCTACCTGGCTTACACTTAACTGATTTATTGAGTCAACTGTTAGCTCTGCATTTCCTTTGTAAAGCATTCTGATTCATGCTCACAGCACATTTGCAGCTTGTAAGGTCTTTGAGGTTTGCATGCTGACACTACTGGTTAAGTTGAATGCTTACCAAGGGTCAGTTACAATGTCTGTTGTACTGTTTTTGAAATTATGTTAATTAAATATGTTAAGCCAGTGAAATATAAGTGTGAAAGGCAGAGTGACTATGTCTTTGGAAACTAAGTTTCATTGCTCTATAGAGCCTTGATACAGAGAGGAGTTTTTTTGGCTACATCACACAGCATGCAAAATCTTAGTTCTTCAACTGGGGACTGAACCTGTGCCCCTTGGAGTGGAGTCCTAATCACTAGACTGCCAGGAATTCCCAAGAAGAGTTTTTTAAACTCTTCTATTGCTATTTTGGTATGTTTGGACAAAATTAATGTAGTACAGTATTAGGGAAAAGATTTCTTTAAAAAACCCTGGATAAATTTTTGCTTTTAGAATGCTTTGTAAATGTGACTAAAGATTTGCTTTGCTTTCAAGAAACTAGAAGTTGTGTACCTTTTGGTTATAGTTTTTAACAAGAAAGTCAAGTCTTTATAGTAATTAGTGGACTCATGAAAAGATTAGTATTTGAGTTATAATAAAATGTAGGGGTATTTTTATATCCTTTTTTATTATTTTCTACTTGTACTGAGTTTTCTGATTGATTGACCTGCAACTGGGCCCTATCTATTGCCTAAAAAGACTTTTTTTTACTGTATTGCTTTTGTGCCAGTCTGACTTGACATTCTCTGCTAATGCTGGCTATTCAAATTTTTTAAAGTTTTACCATTTGAGGGATGATGTTTCATTACTATTTTAATTTACATTTCCTTTGATAAATTATGAATTGACCACTTTTTCATATATTTATTGACCATTCTTCATGTCATTTGCCCATTTTTCTAAGTGAATTTTTTTCTTTATTGATAAGAACTCTTCTTATATTAAGGGTATTTATCTTTTGCCATGTATTTTGTAGATAGCTTTTTTCTAGTTTATCATTCATTGTTATTTGGTTATGGTGTCTTGACATATAAATTATTTAATTTTCTAGATAATAAAACCTATCAATTTATGATGACTGCCTTTGGGATCCTGCTTAGGGTAGTCTATGACTTTATATATATATATATAAATGTATATATATATATACACACACATACTTTAAATTACGGTGTAATGGGTAAGAGCAGGGACTCTAGAGTCAGGTGCATTGGATTTGATCCCCTGGATTTGAATTTCGGTTCTGCCACTTTAACTGTGTGACCTTAGGCCAATTGTTTAACCTTCCTGTGCTATAGGTTCCTTATCTGTAAAGTGGTAGTAAAAGTATTTATCTCTTAGGGTTGTTGTGAGGATTGAAGCAATTAGAATTGGCCCTGGAACATGGCAAACACAATATAAATAGTGTTTGTTAAATACAATTATAAATATTGTAATTTTTGAATTTTTATGTTTTTATTTTTTACATTTCAAACTTTATTTTTTTTAATTTTTTTTTCATTTATTTTTATTAGTTGGAGCCTAATTACTTCACAACATATTTTTGTTATTTGATTTGAAGTAGGGGTCTAATTTAATTTTGTTTTAATTATTTTATTTACGTATATTTGATTTACAGTGTTTGTAACAATTCTTTTTGAAATGATTAGCATGTTACAGTACTACAAAATAATCCATCCTTTATCTCAAGGACACGAATTATCATCTGTATCCAATATTTATAATTGCTCCTTTGATCTGTTTTTTCTTTTGCCATAACTAAGGAATAGATGTTTAACTTTAGACTCTGACTTGGGTTTGTATCCTGGCTCTGCTCTGTCACCTTAGGGAAGTTACTTAACTACCTCTGAAACCTCAGGTTTCTCAGCTGATTTCTCACTAATGCTTAAAAGATTTTTGAGTGGATTATATGAGAGTAGTGTCTGTTACATGTTTGGCATATAATAGCTGTTCAGTAAATGTTAATTCTCTTTCCTCCTCTAATAAAAATTTGGAGGAAGGAGACAACTGGTATGATCTATAATCTACTTTTCAATGTTCTATCACTTTGGAAGAAATGGATAGTCCAGACTTAATTACCTTTTAGGTTGAGGAACTAGGGCCTCAAAGATCTATAACTGAGATGATAACACAATGTCCACACCCCCTCCAGGGAGAGTTTATTAACTGAGAAGGTACCAAACAGTATGTCAGAGTTTCTCAATCTTGGCAGAATTGACATTTTAAGCTAGATAATTCTTTTTCATAGGAGGCTGTTCTGTGCACTGTAGGATGTTTAGCAGCATCCCTGGCCTCTACCTACAAGTGGCCAGTTAGATAGCGCCCCCAGTTGGAACAACTAAAAATGTTTATGCATCACCACATGTCCCTCCAGAAACAAATTGCTTCTTGTTGAAAGCCACTGTAATATATAAATATAGAACTGAAGACCTTGAGGGGAGGAAGTGGTGAACTCCTTCAGGTGTAAGAAATCACATTAATTGTTCCTTTATTCTATTTCTTATTCTCCCTTTCTCTTATTTGAGCTCATTATTAGGTGGTTCACCCATTTACTAATCACCTATTGTATTCCAGATAGTCTTCTGGGCACTGGAGCTATAGCAATGAATAGAACAGGTGGTGTAGAGCCTATATTTAGGGTGTGGGACCAAATAGGATTTGTCAATGACTTGGATATGAGAGAGAGAAAATGAGGAGTTGGGATAATCCCAAAGATTTGGCCTGAGAATTGGGTAAATTCTGGTGTCATTTACTAAGTAGGGGGACAAGTAGTTGTACTGGTAGGGAGCAGAGGGCTTCCCTTGTAGCTCAGCTGGTAAAGAATCCCCCCACAATGCGGGAGACCTGGGTTCGATTCCTGGGTTGGGAAGATCCCCTGGAGAAGGGAAAGGCTACCCACTCCAGTATTCTGGCCTGGAGAATCCATGGACTGTATAGTCCATGGGGTTGCAAAGAGTCGGACACGACTGAGCGACTTTCACTTTCAGGGGAAAATAAGGGTTCTGTTCAGACAGGTTAAATTTCAGGTGTCTTTTATAAAGCCAAAGATAGATGGTACCTGAGTCAGCAAAGAGGTCTGGCTGTGTTACTTTAGGGATTAAATTGATTTCAAAGTGAGTAGGAAAGTGTTAAATATGTTTTGTTTCTGAGACCCTATGAATGGGGACAGTAGTTGGTCTCCTTGATATAGATCATATGGCTTTACTTTCTTATCTGTTGATGAGGTGCTTCATCCTTATTCCCAAACTGGTATTAGGTATTTGTTGAATAGTTACTATGTACATAGCCTATGATTTGTGTAAGAAGGTGGTGCTGGACATGGTTCTGACACTTATAAAGCTCATCATGTAGTTGGGAAGCCAGAACAGAGTTGAAATTGACAGTACTGCTAGTCACTGTCAGGCCAAGGATTGGGGTGGTAGCAATGGGAGAAGAAAGATCTGAGAAATGTCTCCTAGACATGAATATGAAAGCAGTATCCACCAATGAGAAGCTAGGAGCAGAATGGGATTATTATGAGGATCAAATGATTCAGTGTATTTGAAAATGTTTTATAAATGATGGATCATGATATAAATGTTAATTGTTGTCATAACCCTTAAATTAAAAGAACTATAATTAAGTTAACAATCCTTTTATTGAGTAATCAAAGAAAGAATCTTAGTGTTAGAACTGACCTATATAATCCCTTTAGTTTTGCCACACCTTTCATTATGGCTTAATTGGCATAGAAATGTAAACTGGAAAGTTGAATAATTAAAGTCAAAATTCCTACTTTTTAAAAAATAATTTAGGTCATATGAGAATTGTAGTTGCTGGAAATATGGCTGGAATTATATATCTCAGTCTTACATTTCTGAAATATTTGCAACTGGGTGTTTTTTAATAAAAGGGGGATAATACATATGCATGTATATGAAAACAACTTGGCATTCTAATCATGGCTTATTCATGAAGTGATTCCTAATATTGAAATTGCATAAGTGAATATGAGAATTTTCTGTTACTTGTTCTGCAATATACAAACACGATTAAGGTTTTACAGAGGCAGTGTGAAGTAGTGAATTGGAAGCCTCTTTGCTTTTCCTTGAATCCTTCTGGTGCATCTTGGAAGTCTGTCTTTTGTGTAAGTTGGTTCCTAAGAATCAGGAGAGGTATCTTAAAAGTAAAAGCAAAAGGTGGAAACTATGGAAATGATATGGGAATAGGGACTTTACAGTTATATAAACTGCAGGAGGTTATATAAGACTACAAGAATATCTTTTTGTTTTGAGAAATAAAGGGTTTTGGCTCTAGCCTTGTTGGGAGATCAGTGATGATAACTCAGCCTTCATATGAAATATATGTTCTTTGGGTTGGGAAACATAGTCTTGAAGAAGTCTTAGAGGAGTGTGAACTGAGAGAGGTTTATAACATTTCAAGGAAAGAAGAGCATTTCATTATTTGTAACACTGGTTACAACACTGGTTTTGTCTTTTGAACAGATAACATGCCTGGACATTTCCAGCGGAGGAGGCCTTGGTGTGTCTTCTAGCACCGATGGAAGCATGAAGATCTGGCAGGCTTCCAATGGAGAGCTCAGAGTAAAGACTTTGGATACACTTTTAGGGTGGTCTGAGAAACCTTAGACTGGGCCATGGAAAGAAGAGTGGCCCATTCTGAAAATGTAGGAACACTGCACTTCAATTGGTCTTTGTTCTTCCACTTGTTAATATGAGAACCAGGCTCAAGTTTGACGATTTGCCAGAACAAACTGGGGCTGAAACAGTGGGAGAACCCGGCTAGTGAATGTCTGGATGGTACCTTGATATGAACTGCCTTCAGTGATACATTTCTATGGCAGAGTAGCTAAGCTATTACACTTGACTGTACGGCTGAGCCCCTCAACCTGTACAGAGGATTTTAAGTAAAAGAGCCCTCAAACCTCCTCAGCTCCTTATGTGTAGTAATAGAATTATGGATAGCTGCGAGAGCTCTGGAGTTCACATTCACAACATCTACAGCCATAGTCCAGGAAAGGGAGCCAACAGCTCCTAGAACATTACCTGGTAGGCAGGTGAACTAAACAGATTCTTTGGATCTCTTTTGTCTTAAAATCCAGCATGTAGATGTATCATTTAAGGGACTGAGGATATGGGAGGTAAGAGGACATCAAGGGATGGACAAGAGAACTAGCATGGAATTCTCTTTTGTTTTTCCAGAGAGTATTGGAGGGACATGTGTTTGATGTGAATTGTTGCAGGTTTTTCCCATCAGGCCTTGTGGTTCTGAGTGGGGGAATGGATGCCCAGCTGAAGATCTGGTCAGCTGAAGATGCTAGCTGTGTGGTGACCTTCAAAGGTCACAAAGGAGGTATGAAGAGTGATTTTTCCTAAAAGCTTCTGTAATTAGATCCCCAGAAGTGAAGCACCAAAAAGATAGAATCTAGTTGTCCACAAAAACACAAATAATTTATCTAACTGGCTCTTTATAAGTGAACTGGTATTTCCCAGGGATTAAAAATTCCTTTCCTACCCAGTTTTGTTATTGCTATCTAGAACTAACTGCCCTACATAGATGGTTGTTTTCCACAATTGATAAAATAAAAAAAAGCCACCACAGGAAATCATCTGCTGTGTGCTGGGAAAAAAAGAAAGAAAGGTGTGCCAACTGTTTTTTGTTAGTCCTTTGGCTGAGTTGAGATTAAAGCTGGGTTGCAAATGGCTGCCTCACCAGACATGAGTCAGACCTGGGTCCTAACCTGCTGATATCAGATTGTAGAGATAGAGTGAGAACATCTTTCCTCTTTAAATGATTGGTTGGTTTGCTGGGAAAAAAGAATTTAGACATTTTATCCTTAATTAGGAATGTTTAAAAAAAAGTGATAAATATGTCATTCTAATTTTTACGGGTTTGGATATTTTTGAAACTGTGAAAATATCCTCAAGTAATTTCTCACCTTGATCCCTCCTTTGGGACCATAATACACATCATCTACACCACCCATTTGAGAATTCATTATGTATCACCCTATACTTACAGTAGTTAACCCAATGTTTTTGCCTTGTGTATCTGACTATATTATAAATAATGTGTTGATTTTTTTTAAGTTTTAATATTTCTCTTTATAATGGTTTGTCAGATTACATACAGATCGTCTAGCAAACACATATGTTAACCTTCGCAAATGAATTTTCTTCTTAGACTCAAGTACATGGGTGTGGAGAGGGATTAGAAGGGATATTTAGAGCTTTCCTCACATTCAGGCCAAAGAACTAACAGGTCTGAGGCATCAAAGTGGCCTGCACAGTTGGGGAGTCTAGAGGAACACTGAGGGGTTCACCTGAGATCTGGCCACCTTGAAGATGTGGGGCATGGGGCAACTTTCCAGTGAAACAAGGCATAGCCCTGCATGTTGAACTTAACAAGATGTATATTCAGCATCAGTGCATGCTCAACTTCAGAATACCTTTGGATTACTGCAGTTATGGACTGTGCCCTCCACATGAATCCTAAGTCTCCCAGTTCTCCTTAAGAATCCATTCATGTCTCTCAGAGTGAACTATATAGAGTGTTCACTGATCTAAATTAAGCTTTTATTCATATAATTTTTCCATTCTTTTGAGAGAAAAGTTTTGGGGTGGGGGCTTCTCCAGAGTATGACAACCTTGACTCTTTTTCCTTGAGAAGTATTTCTTTTTTAATTAGATTAAACAGAAGTAAACTTTTAGGGGGAAATTGCATAAATTAGTCAGATCCAGGCTAATGTCTGTCAGGTCTTGAATACTCCTCTCCAGTTACTTCTATTTAGCTGACTGGTTTGGGGTTGCTCATTCTTAAGAAGGGCTTCCTTCACAGCTTAGTTGGTAAAGAATCTGCCTGCAATGCAGGAGACCCAGGTTCGATTCCTGGGTTGGGAAGAGCCCCTGGAGAAGGAAATGGCAACCCACTCCAGTATTCTTGCCTGGAGAATCCCATGGACAGAGGAGACTGGCAGGCTATAGTCCATGGAGTTGCAAAGAGTCAGACACAACTTACCGACTAAACAAACCACCACCACCATTCTTAAAAAGTATGGAGCCAAAATCAAGATTTCTCCAGTAATTTAGCAGCATGTGTGGGTCATTGTGTTTACCCAGTTGACTTCCAGATTGCTCTGTGTGACTCCTATTCTACAGTCTTTCTGCTTCTGAGGTTACCATATAGAAAACAGAATAAAGAACTATTACCTGCATTTATGATCTTTAGTAGTTTCACAACTGGTGACTAAATAAGAAAAGCAGAAGATAGTATCAAAAGTGAACGTGGTCTTATTGCCTAGGTAAGTTTGGCAAGCAAGATATGAAAGGAAGACTTGACTGAACATCACCTGATGCTTACTGCAAAGTATCGTTAGGACACTAATAGAGCAGCTTTGTATAAAGATCTGCTATAAAGGATAATCTTTTGTTAGCTTAAGTCCCTGGCTTGTTTATTACTTCTAGTATATGGAAACATGATAGTAAGGGAGGCAGTATAGTAGAGTGGTTAAGCTTAGGATTTGGAGACATACAAATCTTGGTTTAAATCTTAATTCTTCCACTTCACAGCCTGTGAAGCCTTTTAAAGTTGCTTAACTTTTCTGAGTCTATTTCGTCATGTGTAAAATGAGGATAGTAGTATTAAAAGAGATGGTGCATATGAGCGATTTAGCATAATCCCTGGTGTAAAATAAATGCACAGTGAATATTATTATTATTGTTCATTAAAAATATAACACTGCACTTTAAACTCTGCCAGGCAAGTTGAACCTTGTGATGTTGTAGCATGCTTGTCAACTGTGAAAAGCAGAAATTGTTATTTCTAATAGAAAAATAGACATTTTTTTATCTTAGTTATGTAATTGGCCTTTTCTAATACTTTTAGATACATATTTTATATTTAATTAAAGGATTAATGTGTTCATTATTTAATTAACAAGCAGAGGTAAGATTTTTGTGTTTCTAAATTTTTCTAATGAAAAGATAAACTAAAAGTAGTGTTCTGTTTGTAATGTATGAATTTACTAAGTAGTTCTAAAGTGTGTTTTAACCAGTTTGAAGTTTTTTACTTGCCCAGGCCATTTAATTAAAGTTGCTGAATTTGGATATGTATATATATTCATAATCTTAATTTTTTGTAGTAAGCACCAGATCTTTCATAATCTTTGAAAATATTGAGAACAAATGAAGCACCATTTTAGTTGATTTGCGGTTTTTTGTTTACGAATGTAGGAAAGATGCTTATATTTGAGAAACCAAGTTACATTTTCAGCACTTGGGCCATTCTTTTCAAACTCTAATATACTTCCTTTGAAATAGGATATGCTGCCTCCAAGTAATAGAAGATGCTTCAAGACTCAGTATTTTCTGAGAACTGAATTGATTAAACTTGTTAGAAACCTGTATAGAAATATGAAATTTGCTCTCTTTCTTCCTAATGTTTATTCAGGCATAGTTTAATGTAACTCATTCTTTATTTCCCAGACTTTGGCTAGGATGTTTATATGTCAATCAGCTGAATCTTTTCTTGAATGCGATTTTTTTTTCTTGTTGGTTTATATGTTGAAGGCCTGTGTCTGTTTGGTTTGATAACTAAAGCCGTGGCAGCTCTGTTACATCGTTAAGTATGGCTACTCCTCTTGCAAAGGCATTCCTACTCCTTTTATAGCTTTTTCCTAAAGTCATTCCTCACAGATCCCTGCTCCTATAAGGCTTCTCTTTCTTTTATTCTTCCCCCTAAGAGTGAAGAGACCCACACTAGATGCCACTATGTTGTGAGTGACATTTTATTAGAGAGGGGGTGATAGTTTTCCACTCTACTTTTCATAAAAAGGGAAGACTTTCAACCTCTTTACTGAGTATTAGTTGAAGTTTCTACACAGATAATACCATTCACAGCTCCCTAGCCACAGTAGCATCCTCCTTGGGTACATATTTTTCATAAGTATTTGTTCTTTAAACTTTGTATCACTTCATGGAACTCAATATTTTTAAATAGTGGTTGGAACTTTCCAGTAAGGATATAAATAGATCTTTGATTTCTTGGTAGGAGCTGAAGGCCCTTCCTTATGTTCCTACTAGTGATTCTTCATGATTCTTAAAAAGATTAAAATCCTTTTCTAGCTAGAATGATGTGTTATGGAAATAGAATGGAAAGGTGAATTTTCTAAAGTTAAGGTACTTTACAATTACAAAATATGTTATAAGTAAGAACCGTAAAATAGCAATAAGACATGTTACCTTCTTCAGTCTACTTCTGAGGGAAAGGCTACTTTTAAAAGCTTATCTATTTGGCCCTTATCCAGTTGATATATAATTATGACGATTACATTTTATTTTTTCAACAACCATAACCAGCTACATAAATTGTATTTAATTTTTATTTTATTTTTTTTAAATTTTTTATTTTATTTTATTTTTTTAATTTTTATTTTAAATTGCATATATTTGGAAACTTACCCTGTGACTTAGGTCCTACCTGAGTTGTCTCTATCATATTTTCTCAAACAGGCCCCAAATTGGCTACTTTTTCAATTTGCAGCTTTTTTTTTTTTGCGGCACTTTTTATAAATTCATCTTTTTCTGGAAAAGGCTTTCAGAGTAAAATTTGCAGTAGGAGTTGAGGCCTTTTGTTAACCGCATGGATCATCCATCTCTTGTGCCTTATGTTGAATTTTTGTCAAGGTTTGTATATCTGAAGTTGTCTCATCTTGAGAAAAATAGGAACAAGCCAAAGAGTACGGGTTTACTTCAGTAACCTTTGGTCAGCCTGCAGGTGTTTATTGGGCATCTATAATAGGATAATTAAATGGGTTTTAATAAAGCAAGTACTAGCCCTGCCTGTATCACCATAGGGTCGGATTCCCTTTCTACTCTGCAGTCCTGTGTTACCACACATATGTCCCTGAATTGTAGCTCTTTATGTCCATGACTGTCTCTACCTTTTTATCCTATGTGCTCCTGAGGCCAGGGATCATAGCAGATAGATAATAGGTAACAAGGGCTTCGAAAATTATAAAATCTGTGGGCATTTTGGATCTTATAACACTCTGAATCTTGTTTGATCTTTTTTAGCAGGCAGTCCCCTGTTGAGGTATGATGCAAGGGCCCAGGAGGTGTGAATACTCAGCTTCTTGTTGGGTTCCTCTAATAACACTGCTCTGGCAAAGGTGGAGCACTGGCTCACACTATCTCTTTGCAAACAGGTGAGGTAGAAGCTCAGCTTCCCCTTGATCGTGCTGATGCCTTCCTGGTGAAAGTGGGGCACCAACTTGCATCACCTCAACTGTACACCACTTCCTTGCCTCCCCCTGGGCCTATAAGCTCTGTTCCCTGTGGACTGACGCCAAGGGAGGGGTTGGGGATAGTGGAGTGGTACTTCCTGGTCCCTCAGGAAAGATTACCTCTTTCCCCATGCATGAGAGCAGAGGCTCAGCTCCCCACTGACAGTGCCCTGCTGGACCTGCTCAGCATCGCTGGGTGGGGGAACATTGGAGTTCTGTCTCCTGCTTCTTTGTGGGGGTGGGATGGAAGATCACTCCCTGTTCAGCCCCACTGAAACTTTAAGCGGGGGAGGTAGCAGTTTTTCTTTTGCTGTTTGAGGAAGATGGATATTGCCAAAATGTTTTCTATTCTGTTAGGCCACCCTTTTCTCAGTCTTCTGCCTAGAGACAACAGACTTTCCTTGGAGTTGTTTGGTTGTTGTTTTTTGCTATTATTTTTATTTGTGCCTTAAAAAAAAAAAATCAGTTCTATGTTAGAGGCTTCAGCAGTGTCCTGTCTAGAGTATATGGGAGGCAGTAAGGAAATGCAGGGAAACTCATTTCCCTGCTGTTCTTCAAGTCCTGAGGTCCCTAGGTGAACTGCCTTCTTCTTACATCTTTCAACCTTCCTGAGCTTGCTTGTTGTCTTATGTCCAGGTTTTTTCAGCTTTAAGGGAAGGACCTGGAAAGAATGGAGCTATTTGATCTTGGCCAGACGAGAAGTCACATCCTTTTTTATGAAGAGGGGACTAACCCTTTCAGTTACTCCTCAATGGAAGCACCAGGAGCTTTTAAGACAGTAATTTTCATACTGAGCTGCCTAAAATGACTTCTTAACTTTTGTTTTTAAAAAACATGTTTTAGAGCCAAAAACAAAAAACAACAAAAAAACCTGGAAAACCACTGCTCTAGAACATGGCACTAAAAATTAAATCCAAAGCTCCTTTTTCCATCTCTGTTTCTCATAACTAGTCTTTGAACTTTTGGGAAACAGGGACTCTGTTCTATTTATTTCTGTTTTTCTGGCACTTGAAAGTGCCCAGCATGTAGTACATATCCAGTACTCTTTTGTAGAGAAATAGTCATTTATGCAGATCCATGCATGTACTCTGCCCTTTAGTTCCTTCACTGTCTACTCCTTATGGTCTTCATTTTTCTCTCGCCAGGTATCCTGGATACAGCCATTGTTGATCGGGGGAAGAATGTGGTATCTGTTTCTCGGGATGGGACAGCACGACTTTGGGATTGTGGGCGCTCAGCCTGCCTGGGAGTCGTTGCAGACTGTGGTTCTTCCATCAATGGAGTGGCTGTGGGTGCTGCTGACAACTCCATAAACCTCGGCTCCCCTGAGCAGATGCCCAGTAAGTTGATGACAGTATATGAATTTGTTTCCTTAGGTTCCTTCAGTGTTTGCCTTCTTTCCTCCTTTTCTTCCTCCTCCTTTCCTGCTCTGTAGGTATTTCTGTTTTTATCGTAAGACTAATATTTATTGCATGTCTACTACGTTTGTGTTGCTTTGAATTTACAAAGGAAGTATATGTCATAGTTACTACATTTGAGTAAGTACAGTTTAATTTAGCAGCTGAGGCTAATGCCTGTAAAACAGAGATCAATGCAGTTTTGGCTAAAATAATGATTCACTGAATGCAAGTATAATAGTTTTTTTTTTTTTAAGAGGAGAGTGTTTTAGGTCAGTATAGATGAGAAAGGAGTCACAAAATAAGTTGACTTGAACCTTGCAGGATGGATTCAAGTTGAACTGGGAAAGATGGGAGAATGGGACCAGGGCAGGGGTAGAGGTAGTCAGTTCATATTAAAAAACAGTATGGAGGTAAAATTATCCATTGGGTAAAGGTATGCTTGGCTGGGCCAGAAGTTGGTGTAAGCTTCATAGGGGGAAATAGGTGAGTAGAATGATAGTTCCGGTGAGTCAGAATGATAAAGGTCCTAATAAGGCAATTTGCCTTCTTTTCTTATTTTCCTATGATTATAACATATTTGCTTCTCTGATGGAAACAGAGGACTGTTTTTCTCCCAGTATCTCTGCATCTAGAGCTATTAGGTCCACATAAAATTGAGGAGAAAGTAAGAGTTCTAGTATACCCTCTGACCCCACAAACACACAACCTCCCTTATTATTGGCATCCCCCACAGAGTGGTAAATTTGTTACAGTGATAGACTTATACTGATACACCATTAATTCAAAGTTCAAGGTTGACATTGGGATTCACTCTTGATGTTGTATATTCTGTGGGTTTGAACAAATGTACAATGTCATGTATCTGTCATTATAGTATCATGCAGAAATTTCACTATCTGAAAGATTGTCTTTGCTCCACCAATTTGTTCCTTTCTCTCCTATAACCCTTGGCAACCACTGATATTTTTACTGTCTTCATGGTGTTGCCTTTTCCAGAATGTTTTGAAATCATAAACTATGTAGCCTTTTCAGATTGGCTTCTTTCACTTAGTAATATGCATTTAAGGTTCCTCTGGGTCTTTTTGTGCCTTGATAGCTCATTTCTTTTAAGCATTGAACAGTATTTTAAGCATTGAACAGTATTCCATTGTCTGAATGTACCTCAGTTTATTCATTCATTCATCTACTGAAGGACATCTTAGTTGTTTCCAAGTTTGGACAATTATGAATAAAACTGCTCTAAGTACTCCCCTGTACGTTTGGGTTAATTTTGCCCCTCATTATGGACAGCATTCTCCTCATTCTCTTAAAGCTCCCATATAGATGCACTATGGTCCAAGAACTAAAACTGTTAGGACTACTAGCCTGGCCCCTCTTTGGGAATTAATGGATTGTGAAAGGAAATCCAAGAGACAGGAAGTGAGTAGCCATGCAGTGTGCGTCTGCTAAGTCGCTTCAGTTGTGTCCAACTCTGCCACCCTATGGACTGTAGCCCACCAGGCTCCTCTGGCCAAGGGATTCGCCAGGCAAGAATACTGGAATGGGTTGCCGTTTCCTTCTCCGCAGGAGACTCCTGACCCAGGGATCAAACCTGTGTCTCTGTGTCTCATGCCTTGGCAGGCAGGTTCTTTACCACTAGCACCACAGTGGATTAATAGGAAAAGTCTATTCCCCAAAGTGTGATGCATGTACAGCTAGTGGTAAACAAGATCATTTCAGGCAGTACTCATTTTTAAGTTATATATTAATACACACACATCTCACTTCAAACCTAAAATTTCACAGATATTACTTAAAATAAGGTTGAGTTTTTTAAAATCAGTTGGTTTAAATGAAGGTATTCTTGTTTTCTCTATTCCCTCACCTCCTACTTTACTCTTCAGCCTGTCTTAGGTGGGTTTGTGCCCCAGTTACTTAACTGGCAGCAGCTCTTGTCAAGGTCACCAGCAACTCCATGTTGTGTAATCCAGTGTTACTTCTCTGTGGTTATCTTTCCAAATTCTCAATAGGTTGCAGCATAGTACACTCTTCTTTTCAGGACACTGTTCTTTCTTGGCTTCTGTAACACCACATGACGCTGCTTTTTTTGTAGCTCATTGGCTACTGCTTCTTAGTCTCCTTTTGTATGTTTCCTTTATTTTACCTGTAAATATTGGAGGGCCCTCAGCCCTGCAGTTACTGTCTTAGGTGATCTTATCATTTCCATGACTTTCAATATTGTATTTAAGCTGGTGATTTCCAAAAATATATCTAAAGCATGGATCTTTTACTTGCATTTTAGACTCTATTTAAATGTCTAATAGACAGCTTGAACTTACTGTATGGAGTGTTTGATTTTTTTCCAACCCCAAATGTTTTTTTTTCCATCTCAGTTAATGGCACCACCATCTCCTTGCTTAAGCCCAAAGCCTAAGATTCATTCAAGATCCACCACTGCCTTTCCTCTTGTCCCACATCAGCAAAGTCTTTCATCTCTACTTTCAGAATGTTTCTCATTTTTCCATCTCATCCTCTCCCTCCAGGTCTCTCATTTTCCTGCCAGCATCCTGATTCAGTCTGCCATTATCTGTTGCCTGCTCTGTTTTGTAATCCATTCTCATAGGAATCATCACGCTCATTTAAAAAACAGAAGTCCAGGGCTTCTCTGGTGGTTCAGTGGTGAAGAATCCACCTGCCAATGCAGGAGACACAGGTTCGATCCCTGGTCTGGGAAGATCCCACATGCCGTGGAACAACTAAGCCCACGTACAACTATTGAGCCTGTGCTCCACAAGACAAGCCACCACGGTGAGAAGCCCGCGTACCACAACTAGATGATGGCCCTGCTTGCCAAAACTAGAGAAAAAGCCCACACAGGAACAAAGACCCAGCACAGCCAAAAATAAATAAAATTACTTTTAAAAAAATGTAAATTGAGCTGTATCACTCTCCTGTGTCCCTCCTCTCCTCCAGCGGCCTCCTTTTATATTGTTACATATGTTTGGCCCTACTTTGTTTAGCATTGTACTCTGTACATTGTTCCAAATATGGTATCTTTCCACATTACAAAGGACTTGATAATCATAATATTTTAAAATTGGGTTTATTGAGGTATATTTTGTGTATAGTAAAAGTCACTTTTTTTTAATCACAGTTCTGTGAGTTTTGACAAATATGTACAGTCATATAAATAATACCAATGTCAAGATACAGAACATAATAAATGTTTTTTAAAACTAATAAGTAAGTGACTAACAGTAATTCAGTAAACAGCTGTCAATAGCTATGTTTTCTGAGTACTGCCAGCTGATCATCCTAGCCCATTATTGACATAGCTCATCTGTCATGCAGGTGAACGAGAGGTTGGAACAGAGTCGAAAATGCTGCTGTTGGCCCGAGAAGATAAGAAACTTCAGTGCTTGGGACTGCAGAGCAGGCAGCCGGCAAGTGGTTCCTATAATACCTTTGAACACTGGGCAACCTGGGTCACACTGATTCTTGGAAAGCTGTTTTAAAAGCATTTTTAATTTCTCTGTATGTTCACCTTTTGTGGAAGCTACATGTGTGAAAGGCAGTACAGTATAGTAATTAAGAGCACGTGGTATGGGATAAGGGCAACATTTAAATCCTAGCTCTTCCTAATGGCTATGCTATTAGACTCATTACTTAACCTCTCTGAGCCTGTTTCCTCATCACTAAACTTGTCATAGTAGGACTTGTACGTAGGGTTATGTGATAATATTAAATGACCTACTGCTTTGTGACCTTTATTAAGTCACTTTCCCACTGGCCCTTAGTGTGCTGTATGTAAAATGATGAGGTTCTATAGATTTTCTTCCTCCTGTAAGGTAATGTGGAGATTTTTTGAGTAAAGTTCTCATGCATTCAGGGCTCTCAATTAATTAGTGACCAGAATGTCTCTTATAGAAGAATGGGGTTTTCTTCCTTCATTTCCTGGGATTTTGCCAAGCAGGCTATGCTCTTAATTAAACTTGGAGTTCCTTTAGATTAGATTTTCTAAATTTCTTTCCAGTTGCTGTCATCATCACCCAGACAACTTAATGATTTGGTTTGGCTTTGTATTTTCATTTCGTCTCATCACTTCATTGTGTTGGTGATGTTTCCATTTTCAAAGTTTGTTCTGGGAGCATCGCTATTTTTGATCATACTGCCTTTGCACTCTGAATTTCCATGCTGGCTTTTACTTCCAAAGGGAAGTCAGAGGGTTTTGTTGTTTTGTGTCTTTCTTTCATTTTTTTTTTTTTTTTTAGAACATTCAAACTTTACTCTTTGAACTAATAGTAAGAAATTAAAATCTAATATTTTTTATTTTCTTAAGTACATGGGTAAATTGTGATTTCTTAAATTGCCACATTAAGTTTGTTTCTTTACCTTCAAAAGATTGTCATCAAGAAAAAAAAAAAGATTGTCATCAGTGTCTTGAAGCAAAACGTAAATGTGTGAATTGCAAGTGTTTAGCAAATGGAAGGTTGTGCTGAAAACAGGAAAAAACGATTTTTGGTGTTGAGGATCCCATGAGTCAATGTGTTGAGGGGAAATAGTGTGAAAACTGTTACCTTAGACTATGATATTATATAACCTGCTTAAGTCCTCAGCCAGCCTCAGGTTCCTGAAATCCTGGGAGTGCTTCCCCCTCAGTTGTTGGTGAATACTTAGTTTAGATCAGGAGTTCTTAAAAGGAGAAGAAAGAAATTCTGTACTAAAAATAGTAAAATTCTTCTTTTCTTGGTGCCTGTTTATTCCTGGAAACGAATCTTTAAACAGCATTTTTGTCTCCTACTTGTTCCCAGCTGTTCCTCTTTATTGGCTCAGATGCCTTCAACTGCTGTACTTTTCTCTCTGGCTTCTTGTTATTGGCTGGTACACAGGATGGAAACATTTATCAGCTGGATGTAAGGAGTCCAAGGTGAGTCACCATTCATTTGCATGATGCAGGGCTTCTGCAGAGTGGAAATTTTTATTGGCTTTCACAGTGATTTAATCTGGCATATAGATGGCTGTTGAATCAAGGGTATATTTTTCCATTTATAAAGGCTTTCCAGTGTGAATTGTCTGATTGTTCTTATTATTCCTGGAATCACATTGAAAGGTAATTTGATTCATACTGTCATGATTGCTTTGTAAATTAAGCTTAAATAATGAACTAACATCTCACAATAATTATATAAAACCTTTAATTTTAAGGACCTTAGTAATTTTCTTCATGGTATTACATCTGGGTTGGCCTGAGATTGATCATTTATAGTTCAAGTAAGCCAGCTCTGATTCTTTATTTGGCTGTGATCATAACCTATCTTATATAGGCTTTTTCCTGGTCTTACAGATATCCAAAAAGAGTCCATAACCTGTTTGTCCCAGGACTTAACATTTTCTACTGTCACTTTCTCTTTCTGCTTCCTTCCTTTGTTCAACTGATACTTATTGAATGGCTCCTGTAGGCATTAAGCTTTGTTCAGGGCACCACACAACAGAAATAAAAGATAAAGACTCTGCCTTTGAGGCATTTGGAATCTAATAATATAGATGGACAAGTAAAAGACTGTTAGGACACAGTATGATTAGTGATCTCAAGAATTTGAGGAAGCACTGAGAAGGAGAGAAAAGAAAAGTGAGACTGCTCTGAGGAAATGCAGCTTTACTCGATCTTGTCTAGCAGAAAGTTACCAAGTAGAGAAAAGAAGGACCTGCCTTAGGTAGCATAGCATATAGAGAAGCATGAAGGCATGTGAAAGTATGGCACTGTAAGGTATCTCTGAGTAGTTTGACAAGACAAGTATATACTCTGCCAGTGGAGTAGTGATGAGAAGTGATGCCAGACAGGAAAACTGGAATTTGCTTAGAAAGGACTTATATACCATGCCAAGGAGTTTGGACTTTATTCCAAGAGCAGTGAAAAAATTTCAGCTAAAGAGTGACTAGCATATACCTTCTCTTCCATAATTTAAGTTACTTTATTTTTGTACTTTTTTTGCTCCATAGAGATAGGGAATCTGATCACTGTTATAAAATCTCATAATTATAAAAATTACAAAATCATCAATTATAAAAATTTATTCTCATCTTTCTGTTTGATTTTACGAAGTCCTAACAATTTTAATATATTACAGCTGACTTAATTCTGTCTATAAAGAGATTAACATATTGTTAACATTGTTATCTTAAATGCTTGTCAGGCTTCCTCTAAAAACTGGAAATATCAGTGTTTACTTAGTTCATTCAGCTCATTAACATATTTAGAGACATGTTTAGATTCCCTCCAAGGTGGTTTTGAATGGACTACTTTGATCTACCATCTAAGGATCTTGCCAGGAAAGAAACTATGAATGTTTAATCTCTGTCCATATTTGTCCAGTGTGCTATTATGCAGTTAGTACTGTAGGTTGAATATAGTCAAGTATTGCTTTTTAAGGGAAAGAGTAAAATTGCTCCATTTATTCTGTATCCTAGGACTCCAGTACAAGTCATCCACAGATCAGGAGCACCAGTTATGTCTCTGCTGAGTTTCAGAGATGGATTCATTGCTAGCCAAGGTGGGTCCAGGGGCCAACTGAGGGAGGTCGTTCCATATCATTCAGTGAAACATAGGTTTAAGTTCCTGGTCTGTGGCAGGGCTAGGAGCATCATCCTCCATGATTCTTTGGCATATTGTGCTTTTTCACATAACGTTTAACACCCTAATTATAATTATCTGTGCCCCCTCCAATGTAAGCTCCTTGAGAGTAGTGGCTGTGCCTTATCATGTTGCCCCCAGCATTTTAGTTCAGTGTCCACCATGTAACTGGTGCTCAGTAAACATTGTCAGAATAAATACACTGGCTCTTATTACAAATTACTGAGAATTCAGTTAACAAATCAGTTACAGTCTCTGCTCCAAAGGAGCTCACAGTTAGTAAGGCAGACAGACATGTGGACATGTGCTTGAATACAGTTTGATAAGTACTGCAGCAGAATACTGTATGGGAATGTGGGGAACAGCTAACTTGAGTGGTAGGAGTACTGCAGGCATGTCTTTGTGGACTTGTTTGCTTTAGTCGCTGAGTTGTGTCCAACTCTTTGCGACTTCATGGACTGTAGCCCGCCAGGCTCCTCTGTCCATGGGATTTCCCAGGCAAGAATACTGGATTGAGTTGCCATTTCCTTCCCCGGGGGATCTTCCTCACCCAGGGATTGAACCACATCTCCTTTGGCAAGCAGGTTCTTTACCACTGAGCGACCTGGGAAGCCCCTTCATGGACTAAGCAACATTTAATCCAATGACTATTTTACCAACTGGAGATGTAAATAATGCACACTGACGGCCAAAGCTGTAGTGTTTCAAAGTCATAGATGAGTGAAAGGGGGCAGAAAGAAGGGATCTGTCCTTTAGTTGCCTATCTACCATACAGTAGGTACTGTGTTTGATGCTTTACAAAGACAGTCTGGGTAAAGTGAGTGAGTACCTTGGTGTAAGCAGTATAGAATATTTGGAATGGAGTTTGGGAGTGGGTTTGGGAGAAATGCATGGAAGAAGGTGTCCATTAAGGGATGCTGAATCCTCATAGGAATGATTTAGGTGAGGAGGACTGGCCTATAGGCCTGGAGGGACCATCTTACCTTAGTACTTCAGTGTATCAGTTAGGATATTTTTGGCTGTTAGTAGCAGAAGACTCAACTGAAAATGGCTTCAATAATTCAGAAAATGTAGTACTTCTTTGACAAGACATCCAGATTTATGGTGGCTCCAGATTATATTAATTTAGTGATTTGAAAACAAATTCAGTGGAGAAACTAAGAAAAATTGACAGCTCACTCAGTGTGGTATCCTGGATTGTATCCAGGAGGTTTAAAGACTGGTAAAATCCAAAAAAGTATTGAATTTAAAAAATTAATGAAAGCTTTAACAAGAAGAGAAGAAATAAAATCAAGAACGCAGCTTTTCTCTGTTTTTTTGGCACTCTCCTCCTTAGCATACTGGCTTTTGTCCTCAGTCTTATTCCCTCAAGGTTACAGTGCAGGATAGCTGCAGCAAATCTTATCTTCACATAACATGCATATTGTTATCCCTTTTAAGAATGAGAAACATTTCCTCAGGAGCAACCCGGCAGGCTTACTAATCTCCTACGTCATTGATCAGAATTATATAATATATGCTGTGCCCAGAAGACCTAAATAGACATTTCTCCAAAGAAGATATACAGATGGCCCATAGGCACATGAAAAGATGCTCAGCAATGCCAGTATTAGAGAAATGCAAATCAAACCCACAATGAAGTATCACTTCCCACCAGTCAGAAAGTCTACAAAGAATAAAAGCTGGAGAGGGTGTTTAGAAAATGGAACCCTCCTACACTGTTAGTAGGAATCTAAATTGGTACAGCCACCATGAAAAACAGTATGGTGGTTCCTTAAAAAAACTGAAAATAGAGTTGCCATATGATCTAACAATCCTACGCACTCCTGGGCATATATATAGAAAAGACAAAAACTAGTTCAAAGAGATACATGTGCTCCCATGTCCATAGCAGCAATATTTGTAAGAGCCAAGATGTAGAAACAACCCAGATGTCTGTTAACAGGTGACTTGCTTAAGAAGATGTGGTGTTGGACGCCCTTGGTGGCCCAGTGGATAGGAAAACACAGGTTTGATCCCTGGTCTGGGAAGATTCCACATGCTCCAGAGCAACTAAGCCCGTGCGCCCCAACTTCTGAGCCTGTGCTCTTGAGCCCATGTGCCACAACTACTGAGCCTGCACGCTGCAAATACTGAAGCCCCCATGCCTAGAACTTGTGCTCCATGGCAAGAAAAAGCACCGCAGTGAGAAGCCTGAGCACTGCAATGAAGAGGAGCCCCCACTCACTGCATCTCAAGAAAGCCTGCATGCAGCAGTGAAGACCTAGTGAATAGGTCTTCATTTATTTATTTGTTAATTTGTGTTTATATAAAAATGGCAGTTATATATGGTTTAATCTCATCATCCTGTGATCTTTGGTGAATGAGTTCACTTTTCTAAGTCTCTACTTAGAGATAAAATAGGTACTTGACGTAAAGTAGATATTCTGTAAGTGATAGTTTCTTCTTACCCCTGTAACTAACCCTTGCTCTTGTGAAGTGAAAGTTGCTCAGTCGTGTCCGACTCTTTGCCACCCCATGGACTCTACAATCCATGGAATTCTCTAGGCTAGAATACTGGAGTGTAACCATTCCCTTCTCCAGGGGATCTTCCCAACCCAAGGATCAAATCCAGATCTCCTGCATTGCAAGCAGATTCTTTACCAACTGAGCTATCAGGAAAGCCCTGCTCATAACCGTTGTCCTATGCCCTCCTAAAAAAGTATTTCTGATCATCATGATCCAATGGCGAAGCACACAGTCACCAAAATTAGAATTATAGTATAGGGAAAGATATGTGCAAGTGTCAGAGCAATAGTAAGTGTTACAGGAGGTCAATGGAGAAAGGGTTTACTATATTGGTTGGTTAGAGATGGCTTCCTAGACAAATTGGGAATGAAGCTTGGGCTTATCAAGTAGGTTTGTGTATGGAAACTTGAATGCAGAGGAAGAGCTATAGTAATTGTACTTTCTTACCTCCCTGTANCCTGATGCAAAGAGCTGACTCATTAGAAAAGACCCTGATACTGGGAAAGATTGAGGGCAGGAGGAGAAGGGGACGACAGAGGATGATATGGTTGGATGGCATCATTGACTCGATAGACATGGGTTTGGGTGGACTCCGGGAGTTGGTGATGGACAGGGAGGCCTGGCGTGCTGCAGTTCATGGGGTTGTAAAGAGTCAGACAGACTGAGTGACTGAACTGAACTGAACCTCTAAAATATAAGGATTCTTTTTTGGAAAAGGTTATTTTTAATAATGAGAATGCAGGAAAGAAGATCCTCTGTATACTGCTGGGTCCAGTATAGATTGATTAACAGATAAAATTGATAACTTACATATAATTTTGGAAAGCAGTTTTTCAAATTTTAAATGTTTGAAATGGTTAGTTAATATCTTTTGATTCTTTTCCAGAGTTCTGTACAAAGTCATAGTCTTAATATAGAAAAAACTTTATGCATAAAGATATTCTTCTATGCTATGTGCTCCAGAAAAGGTTAGAAAAATACATTAAACTGTGAATAGTATTTATCTTTGAGGGGTATATATGGATGATGTTTTTAACTTCTGTTTCTTTATTTTTCAAGTTTTTTGGATACCATGCCATTCAGCACTCAGGATCTTAGTTCCCTGACCAGGGATTGAACCCACATCCCCTGCATTGGAAGGCAGATTCTTAACCACTGGACCACCAAGGAAGTCCCTGGGAGCATAATTGTCTTAAAGAAAACATTTATATAAGGAAATTACCTGTTAAAAACCATTGTCTAGGATAAGATTGCAAATACTTGTATAAGCCTGTAGTTGCTTGCTCTGTGCTCTTGGTGGTTATTGCTAATCAAAGACAGTTCTTCCCATTGAGCTTGCACTTGGCCTTCAAATCCTCTTGAGCCCAGCATTTTAGGGAGTCACTGTAGGACCTCATATCTGGCCCACCATGAGTCCTGTCTGCCACTCTGGGTCTTAAGACAATTTTCTTTAGGCTAGTGATGTACAGAAATAAAATATTGAGGAAGTTTTCTGTCTTTTAGGTGATGGAAGCTGTTTCATTGTCCAGCAAGACTTAGACTATGTGATTGAGCTCACTGGGGCTGACTGTGAACCTGTATACAAGGTACAGACCTGAGATGAAACCAGGCCTGGGTGGTTTTCACCTGGAACCCAGGGCTTTGGAGGGGAATGAATCCAGAAACTTTGTGATTACTAGGGGAAATAAAATACTTAGGAGTAGGACAGAAAGAAATAATTGAGTCAGAGTGTCTTCATCGTTTACTGGCTCTAGAAACTGAAAAAATCACTTTACTTACTCAGTCTGTCAGTTTATCTGTAAAATGAGGATAGCAGTGAAATAATGCATATGAAAACTCTATTCTGTAAATATTACTTTTATTGTTGTTGTTATTATTTAAGTTCAAGACTGATTTGATTAGAGTGTGGTGTTGGAGAAGACTGTTGAGAGTCCCTTGGACTGCAAGGACATCCAACCAGTCCATCCTAAAGGAAATCAGTCCTGAATATTCATTGGAAGGACTGATGTCGAAGTTGAAACTCCAGTACTTTGGCCACCTGATGCGAAGAGCTGACTCATTTGAAAAGACCCCGATGCTGGGAAAGATTGAAGGCGGGAGGAGAAGGGGATGACAGAGGATGAGATGGTTGGATGGCATCACCGACTCAGTGGACATGAGTTTGAGTAAATTCCGGGAGTTGGTGATAGACAGGGAGGCCTGGCGTGCTGCAGTCATGGGGTTGCAAAGAGTCAGGCATGACTGAGCTACTGAACTGAACTGAGGAAAGAGAAAAATGAAAGGGGAAATAATGTTTGTTGACCAGACATTGTTCTATCTGTTTTACATATCATATTTAATCATTGTTATCATACCTTGAGGCATAGATATTATTATTCCTATTATTTTCTTATATTTAAAAAAATATTATAATTTATGCACATGTATAAAAATTCAAACAGTGCAGAACTGTGCAGACTTAAAAGTCTGCTTTAAGACTTTTGGTTTCACTGTTTCCTGAAGTAACTAGCATTAAGTTTGTCATGTATCTTTTAAGACTGCTTTTGGAGAATTTGTATTCAGACCTTTGTTTATGTAGTTATGTAAATAATATAGTTTTGTCTTTAGTTTATACATAATTGGGATCATTCTGTTATATATTGCTGTATGACTTGGGTTATTTTACTTAACATTTTAGAGCTCTTTCCAGACAAATGCTTATAGATATACTTCATTTTTAAAAATTCCTGCTTAGTGTTCTATATTGTGAATTAACACACCATTTTGATATTATTAATGAAGAAATGGGACCAAAGGGGTTGAGAAAGCTGCCCTAGGTCATGCAGCTACATATTGGCACACCTGTGATTAAAGTTAACTCCAGAATTCATGCTATTTGCTTTAAATTAATGGTTCTTAATCTCCTTTGTCTCAGACTGCTTCGAGAATTTGATGAAATCCTTCTCAGGAAAAAAAGGCACTTATTTATTTATTTATTTTTAAAAAGGCACTTATTGAGAACTTCTTTGCATATAATGTTATGAGGTTCGGGGATACCCAGGCCTTCCTTTTTTTTTTTTTTTTTCCTCCCCCGAAGGCTTCCAAGTATAATTTAATAACAGATGTAAGGGACCAACTTAATTTTAGCTACACCCCCTCTCTATTCCTAGGCTCTGTCAAAAGAGATTTTAGGGTTTAATGTGACAGCACCCTCTTCTGGAGGAGGCAATGTTGTTCAGTCCCTAAGACGTGTCTGACTCTTTATGACCCCATTGACTGTAGAACCCATGGATTGTAGCTTGCCAGATTCCCCTGTTCTCCACCATCTCCCGGAGTTTGCTCAAACTCAAGTCCATAGAATCAGTGATACTATCTAATCATCTCATCCCCTGCCGCCCCCTTCTACCCAGGCTTTTCTGTGGACCATCTGCTCCCCTGTACAGACGCCTCTGCTCTAAACCATGAACAACACTAGTCCGTTTTCTCTCCAATTGGCCAGTTAGTTTCTCTGTTCTGTACTCATGATCTCCCTTGATTCTGGTCAGCTATTTTTAAAATATATAACATGGATGTAAAAAAAAAAAGAACATGGATGTAATTCTTGTCTTTGGAGTCAGTAAATCTTCTCAGACTCCCTTGTACTAGTAGGGGTCAATGACAAGACTCTTATGTTTTTGAAGTGGAAGAACCCCAGGCTTCCTTTGAGCTGTGAACTCTTTGTGTTCCAGGTAGCCACATGGGAGAAGCAGATCTACACATGTTGTCGAGATGGTCTTGTGCGACGCTATCAGCTCTCTGACCTCTGACCCCTTGGGAAGAGGAGTCCCAATAAATGAAAAGGATTGACTCTGATCAACAGTGAGCAGAAACATCATCAGGGACCATGAAACGACCATGAGTGATCTTTGTTGTATTGGGTACCCTTCAGAAACAATAGAAAGTCAGCTGCTTTGGCCCATGTGGAGCTGTCATTCCATGACAAGACCCACTTTGAACTGAGTAAGAAGCTCACATGTGCTCGCTGCATTTGTCCCAACTTCTCCCTTAAACTCAGCCCAGCACATAGGGCAGGGAAATGGATGCTTATAGTGTGATTCCACACTGATTGTGTTCAGTGTTTACAAGGACTGGAGAAATAAAGCCTGTTCTCTGGAGGAAATAAAGAGAATATGGAGGAATCTGAATTTGAGAAACTTTGTTAAATATTCTTGCTGTTGCAAAAAGTCAGTCACGGTGATGGGATTCCTTACTCAGGCACTTCCAATCAGCCTGGCTATAGGGAAGGGCTACATGACAGTAGCAGTAAGTATCCCATGTGCAACCTGGGAAAGATTCTTATACAGGAAGGGTAGTAACCACCATCCCAGTTTTCCTCAGATTAAGGGGTTTTCTGCTATATGGGACTTTCTGTCCTGGGCAAACTGATATGATTGGTTAGCCTTTATACAGGTGATGAAGTTGAATCATCACTGTAAAAGTGACAGCTGTCAAAGTGTGGTTCTTAAAGTAGCTGTATCAGATCACCCAGGAACTTGTTAGAAATTATGGGAACTGCCTCCCCTTTTCAGACTTAAATCAGAAATGCTATGGATGGGGCCCACAATCAGTATTTTAACGATTTCAAGGTGATTCTAATTCCTGCTAAAATATGAGAGACCAAAAGAGATGGTGAAGGGCAATTTAGTCATAGATGGAACTCAGTGCTCATGGATGAGGCTGAAGTGGTTGACAGGGTCCAAATAGTGAAGGGACTTAAATGCCAGGTAAGGAGCTTGAGCTTCACTTGGTTGGCATTGGGGAGACACAGAACACTTTTTAAAGCAAGGGTACAACATGGTCACTTCTTTTTTTTCCCTAAACATAAAAATGGAGTTATATATATTCTGTGGTTTATTTTCACGTAGTGTCTCTGAGTTCTTTACATCTCAATACAGTTGGACTTTCCTCATTCTTTTTAATAAAAAGTGTAGATTTCCCTGGCAGCCCAGTGGTTAAGACTGCACTTCCGCTGCAAGGGGGCATGGATTTGTTCCCTGGTTGGGGAAATAAGATCCTGCATATTGCGAGAGCGCAACAACAACAACAACAACAACAAAAGACTGCTAGTAAGACTCAAAGAGATCTAGTGATTAGCCAAGGGTCATAGAGGGTAGGAACTTGAACACAGTTGAACTTTAAATCCTATATTTTCCTTCTAGTTGCTTTTGCCTAAACCAAATTGAAAATAAAATACTTTAGTTCATTGAATATCTACTGGATATCTACTCTGTTCTAGTTACTGTATTTAGATACTTAATCCTCATAACATTCTTAAAAAGGAAATGGTATTATTCCTGTGTAAAGGATAAAGAAACTGAAGCTCAAGAAATGAAGTACCAGAGCCTTGATTTGGACCTTTCTCAATGTGTCTGCAAGGCCTGTGCTCCTTCCACTACACCGTGTGGTCACGAGACCTCAGGGACTAGAGCAGTTTCATTCACGGAATGATTTGTGATAGGGTCAGATAGACTCAAGAGGACACATTCCAGAGCTCAGAAACATTGAAAGCTAGGAGGTCTGGGGGAACGTTTAAGAAGTCAGGTTAACAAAACAGGAGGAGGAAGATTTTGACTGAGTTCACACAGCAAGTGTGTCTCCTGAGTCCCCATTCCAGGACTCGTTCATGTTTATTACCATCACATTCACCAACCCCTTTTCACAGGTCTCCAGAGTTGACATCCTGTTTGTGATGGATGCAGTGACTCTTGACAGCTGTCCTGAAATCCAGACCCAAACAGAAGGAGCAAAGGCTAGCTTTCAGGTATCCCAAACCTTATTTACTGTGAATGGAATCATCCCCAGTTTGCAGCAGAGTTTTTTTCTTTTGAGTCGAGGAGTGCTTTCTGGGTGGGGAAGTATTGACAACCCTCATCTGGAACACTGCAGGCCCAGGGAAGCTCTGTGCTTCGATTTTGTTTTCTGGTTTTCAGATGCCCCCTTGTGACTTCTCGTGAAAAGTACTGCTGTTTCTCAGACCTGAAAAACCGGCAGTGGCAGTGGCTATTGAGCGTATAGTGTATGCCAGGCATAGTCCTCACAATAGCCTTGTAAAGTTTTATTTTTCTTGAACAGATCTCTTTGTGGATATATTTTAAATTTACTTTCCATTTTGAAATAATTTCAAACTAGCAGATAAGCTATAAGAATAGTTCAAAGGATTCCAGTATATCCCCACACAGATCTCCCAGTTGTTAACTTTTTATTATGTTTGCTTTATCACCCTCTCACTCCGTCTCTCTTTGTATATATATATATATATATTTTATTTATTTTTTTTAAACACAGGTTATATATGCTATATTTTTTTTTTCTGAATCACTTGTAATACACAAATGTTATGTCCTCTCAGTTTTCAGTACTTAAATATGCATTTGCTGAAATCAGGGACACTCCTGTATAACCACAGTACATCTATCAAAACAAGGAAACCCCCATTGATCCTATACTACCATCCAGTTTGCTGACCCCATTCAAATTTTGCTGGTTTTCCCAACAGTGTCCTTTATAATCACTCTTTCCTTTGTGGTCCAGGGTCTAATCCAGGATCACTCGTTGCATTTATTTGGCTTCTGTCTGGAGTACTTCCTCAGTTTTTCCTTTTATAACCCTGATATTTTTGGAACATAGGCCACTTAGGGTTTGTCTGATGTTTCCTCATGATTAGATTCAGGTTGTATATTTGGGCAGGAATATTCCCAAAGTAATTCTCCATCCTAAGAGCATGGTATTGGGAGCCAGGCAGTGCTGATTTGTCTCTCTACTGGTTGGTATTAGGTTTCTTTTTTCCCTTTGGAGATATAATTCACAAACCAAAAAATGCACCCTTTTAAATTACACAATTTGGTGGGTTTTAGTATATTTACTTACAAGGTAGTGAGGCCATCACCACCAGTTCCAGAACATTCCTCACCCCAGAAAGAAACCCCATATACTACAATAGTCACTCCCTGTGCTCTAGTCCTGGCAACCACTGATCAGCGGACTCTGTCTCTGTGGATGTGCCTATTCTGAATGTTTTATATGAATGGAATATACGTGACCTTTTATGTCTGGCTTCTTTCACTTAGCATAAAATTTTCAAGGTTCATCAATGTGGTATTAATAGCATGCATCAGTACTTCATTCTTTTAATCCACTTGTGATGGTTAATTTTATGTGTTAACTTGACTGAGCCATGTTGCCCAGATATTTGGTCAAACATTCTGGATGTTCCTGTGTTTTTTGGGAGCTATTAACATTTAAATCAGTGAACTTTGAGTAAAACAGATTACCTTCCATAATATAAGGCCTCATCCAATCAGTTGAAGGCCCTAATAGATGAAGACTGACTTCCACCAACAAGAAGGAATTCTCCCAGTGGATTGCCTGTGGATTTGAAATGTAACTCTTCCCTGGGTCTCCTACTGCACTGCAGACCTGTCTTGCATTTTGGACTCCTCAAGCCTCTGTAATTGCATGAGCCAATTCCTTAAAATAAATCTCTCTATATGCACACAAACATATCTTATTGGCTCTTTCTCTGGAGAACCCTAATACACCATTGTATGGATATACTACAGTGTTTTAATCCATTCATCAGATGATAGACATTTGGGTTGTTTACATTTTTGTTTGTTTGTTTGATTACATTTTTTAGCTATTTTGAATAGTTCTGCTGTGAACATATGTTTTTAGTTCTATTGGGTATGTACTTAACAGTGGAACTGCTTGGTCATATGGTAAACTCTAGGTTTAATGTTTTGAGAAACTGCCAACTATTTTCCAAAGTGGCTGCTCCATTTTACATTCCCACCAGCATAAGGGTTCTAATTTTTCCATGTCCTTGCCAGCTCTTGTTTTTGTCCATGCTTTTTATTTTAGTCAGATAATGTTAAGTCAATTAAAATGGTATTTATGCGATTTCTCCACAGCAAAGTTAATAAGTATTTGAGAGAGAACTACTTTGAGACTATGTGAATATCCTAGTCCTCAACAATATTTTATCAACTAGTTTTGGCATTCTTTAATGATTTCTGTCTGAATCAGTTATTCCTATAATAACTGCCACATGGTGATTTTCTAATTCCATTATTCTCTTTACATTTATAATCAGCATTCTACTCTAAGGAAGAACTTTCCCTTCTCCCTGAATTATTTATTCATTCACGCATTCATTTGTCTTAGATATATTATTATAGATAACTCATAGATTCATCTTTTATTCTATAGATTATAATCCATTGTTACTGTGATTTATTTTGATATTTAAATTGTCCCATTTGGGCCAGTGGGGGCTCCTCCAAGCTGTATCTTATGCCCTTTTAACATTTTTCCATCCTTCTTTGAGCTGTTACACATTCTCTGCCCCGTAAGATAGTCAAGCCTCAACTTATGATTTCTCACTTCAGGCCTGGAATCAGTCATTTGTCTAAATAGCCCTGGTTTCTTTTAGTGGAGAATTGTATTCAGAAATCAAGATCTGGGCAATAATATGCTCTTTACTCCTGGGGTATTATTGCTTCTAGGCCCTGTCAGAAGATACTACATCTGTACATCTCTCTTTCTACATCCATCATTCTACATTATATTAAAAATCATGAGTTCACACTGATGTCACCAATTCCAATCCAGCTCCACCTTCTACATATATACCTCCTTTCTCCAACAATGAGAAGCTTGGCTCTCGTAATTCTCAATGTATTCACTTATTTGCTCAATACCACTGTGAGTAACCAATCTTCCACCCGCCCAGGTCATCTTCCCTTTCACCACGGCCCTTGCACACCTGGTGTTCTACTAGAGTCTCCTTCTTCGTTTGCATTCAGCCAGTCCCAGATAAAGCAAAGCCTTCCCCCAACCCTCTGAGTTTAATAACTTTTTTTTCCTGGTAATAAAAGTAAAACAGGGAATTCCCTGGCAGTCCAGTGTTTAGGATTTAGTGCTTTCACTGCGGGAGCCCAGGTTTGATCCCTGGTTGTGGAACTAAGATCCCACAAGCTGCATGACCAGAAAAAAAAAAGGTAAAACAAATGGCCAGTACCCAAGAAAAAATGTTCAATATTAGTAGTTAAATAAAAATGCAAATTAAATCCATGAGAAAGCTCAGAAATGAAAAAAATATAGAGTAATTCCACATTTTCATTTTATAAGCAGACAACTATGTATATTTGT